AGTGCAGTGGCTTCATCTCTACTAACTGCAACCTCCACTTCCTGGGTTTTGGCCCGGCTGGTCTTGAACTCCTGACCTCAAGTGATCCCCTCACCTTGGCCTCCTAAAATGTTAGGATTACAGATGTGAGCAACGAAGCCTAGCCATAAGCAATAAATTTTAGACAAGCTACCTCAATTCTCTCCAGTTTACATTATGTTTTAGAAAGCCTTTTTTTTTTTTTTTTTTTTTTACATTTAAAAGTAGCCATGTACAGAATAAGAAAATCTCATTTTCTATGGGAAACAGTATAAAGCAAACTGTAATGATGATTAAAACAAATGAATAACCCTATTACAAACTTAATTGTGCATTTATACAATTCAGAATCAATCAAGACTTAGATTTTACATTAATACTAGGAAAAAAATAATTCAAAAGAGATGTAAGCCACCAAACAGAACCATAAGTTCTTCTGGCATGTCTAACCAGATATATATATATATACATATATATATGTGTGTATATATATGTATATATCTTCTCTGCCTTTTCTCACTCTCCCATTCCAATGGAGTATGTTTGTTTGTTTGAGTGTTTGGGCAATTGATGTGTTTTTCCAGTTCCCCTAGTAGAGTTTATTGCATTGTTAAGCCACTGTGCAGCATGTTAGGGAGAATTAGATCCCAGAATTTAGAATTTGCAGCCACGTGGTACCTTTTCTAATCAGATGAAAATGTCAAGAAATTGGTCTAAGAGTAGAGTAGGAGGGCTGAAATGCTGAATATTCTCGATTTCAATGTAAATAAAAATTTGAGAATTATAGTGCTTGCAACTAAAGATACAAACAGTAACAAAAGGGAATATTTTAAAGCTTTATTTTTGCATTCGAGGTCTATAAGCTATTGTTGCTACTGTATATTTTAAAAATATATTCTTTCCAATAAAAATATTGGCCATCATTCTTGTTTCCAACAATAAGAAGAATATTCAAAAAGTGAAGTACAACATGGAGTAAACAAATATTTTCATAACACACCTTAATATGTACTCATGATTAAGAAATTAAGGATAATCCATAAATTAAAAAATGATATAATAGTTTAGAGAGTTAAGATTTAGGAAGTAGTAAATAAAATAATTATCTGTGTTACGCAAATATAATCCTTAGTATACAATATTTGATTAATAGGAGTTCTCTTATATGTCATGCATAAGCTTGTAGCAGAGAGAAACCTCTGCATAAGCTCAGGCGTTCAGGTATGCAAGAAACAGTTTTCTGTATTTTGCTCTTGCTGAACTTAATTTGTATTCTGGGCCCTGGTTTCATCAAGTGGCAGAAGCTCAGTCTCAGTCAGCGCTAACTGACTGTCCTCCAGGACTGTGTCTACAAAATGCCAGGTGGGGGGCCATCTGGCCCTCAGTGTCATCAGCTATCCCTGCTGGCACCCACTGAGACTTCCTTCTTCCAGTCTGCTCTGTGGTCACTGGTCCTTGTACGTTGCCACTGCAGCCTCCTTGTCCTCATTCCAAGGACACGTTAGGCCTTCTGGCTCTATGAGTATTTTTCATTGGAGAAATTTTGCTTCTGCTGTACTGCTTCAGGCTAAAGGAAACTGTCAGCTGTCTCAGCCCACAGGCCCAGGCACACTTTGCTCTTTGGGAGCCCCAATTCATCAAAGGTTTTAGTCATTTTCTTCCAGTATGGAGACTTGATCTATGGATGTCAGTAAAGCACTCTCTTTCTCAGTGATGTCACAAATGTCTAGACTTTTCATTTTTGCTCCTCATTCTCTTCCTCTTCTCAGCCTATGGAACTTTGCCCTGAAGAGAAAGCAAATACAGGAAAAACAACTTCTTTACTGACTATGCATTCTTCCAAGTAATTTTGGATGTTTGAACTCAAAATCTAATAGGTAATTTTATTTCTGTTGAATTTTAATGTATCAGCCACTACTGGAGACAATCAATATACAACTTTTTATTTTTTTATTATGTATGTATATATATATTTTTGAGTCAGAATCTTGCTCTGCTGCCCAGACTGGAGTGCAGTGACATAACCTCGGCTCACTGCAACCTCTGCCTCCCAGATTTAAGTGATTCACCTGCCTCAGCCTCCTGAGTAGCTGGGATTACAGGCATTGGATGCCGATATTTTTTTTTTTGAACGTTCCATGTGCAGCTTCCACCTCCAGTGATCTCCCCTCAGCCCCAATGCTAGATACAGCATGAGCCACTACTCCCAGCCCCAATACAGAACATCCTAACTGCTGTCTGAATTAGGGGGAGGGCTATACGCTAAAAAAGGATACTAAGTGCAGAAGTCACATTGATAATATAATGATAAACCAATCCCCTAGAGATAAATGTTTAGGTAGTCAGATAAAATCAATTAAACTTATATTAATGTATTTATACATCTGATACTGAACAGTATGGTGATGTTTCACTTATTTCCATATTGGATACTGACTGATATAGAATATATGTTTCTAGATTTGAAACTTTTTCTTGTAGTAACCATTGGAAAAAACTGAAAACATCAGCATCACATCAGAATGAAGCTCTACGTAATCAAATTCTGAAAGGCTAAAGAAATGTGATCTGCCTTTATCTAATAATAAATTTTGAAGTGCCTCTGAGATTTAATGCCCTTGGATGATGCTCCCTTAAAACCATTTCTCTCACCTAAAGAATTAGATGTTGGAGAGCAGAGATTCTGGGCTGCAATACGTGATGAAGGTCTGGAAAGTCTGACTTTTATTTTGGTCATTGAAGTTAAGGCACATGCTTTGGAAACCAGATCAGTGGCTGTCATTATTGGCAAATGATTATGAAACTGAAGAGACTTTAGAGAGGACCAGCCCATATCCCAACAAAGGTGTTCATAGGCAGCCTTGTCATTTTCCTCCAAGAAACAATTTTAGATGTTTGGCAGCACATGATCAAGTGCTTAATTTAGTACCCAGAATCTCACAACATAGATAGTAGTAGTAATCGAGAAAAACTCAATACAGATATTATCAGCAATTGACCATGGGGATGGAACAATTCTTACAGTCCTCTCTTGTAACATCCTGTACTTGCTGGTATGACTCTTGGTATAGCCTCCTGATGATAATGTGTTCACTGCACTCAGTCTGAAGTGGAATCATTTTATATAGGCCAAGTTGAATAATATTTTCCAAAGATAAAGGCAATAATTATGTGTAGAATGGTTACACTAGAGAAATAACTAATAGTAAATAGATTGATGGATGTATGGGATGGTTAGATAGATGGATATGTGGGTGTAAATATCACCTTCAGAAAAGAATTTGATAGACGCTAATACTAGTGGGTTTTTTTGTGGCTGCTTCATGGTCATAGTAATAAAACCATATGATGTGCATTACAAGAATTCCTGTACACTAATTAAACCTAAAATGACTTGACATCATAATGTCATACATGAGAAAATATATTATGGGAAGGGGAAAATAGTGATCTGCCAGGATATCTCTGCTTTGATTTCTGTGGCATTAATAATCAGATTTTATTGTGCTCATTCAACTTGACCCAGCTTTTCATTTTCAATTCATGTATATAGTTATTGAAATTATAAATCATGCTATATTATTTTAAACAGATTTTTCCATAACATTCATGAATTACTTAATTCACAAATATTTATTAACTTTCTTATTCATGTAAGAATCATGGTCTAGGAACTTAAATCTTGTTCAGCATGGCTGAATCTTAGTTTAAGAAGGTCAATAGTGGAATAGCTATGCCTGATGCTTCTTTGCTTTTTATATGAAATATTTGGATGAGAAAACCAAGCCTGTGTTTTATTAAGAAAGTAGTCATATTTTGAAAGAGACTGAGCTTTGCATTGCCTTTCAGAGGAAATTATGGTGCTTTAAATTTTATGTGTTATTATATGTTCCCTGTAAGAAATTCATTAAATTAGAATATTTTTTAGGCTCTAGAACCTACCAATTAAACTAGGATTTAAATTGGTTTTGACTCAGAATATCTTCACGTAGTATTATTCTCTTTGTTCTGAAATATTTAATCAAAATAGTGGTGTTAGGAGAAATAATTGAGATCCAAACACAGAAGCACTCTTTCTTTTATTTTTATTGGAAATGTAATAATTACACATATTTATAGAATGCAGAGTGATATTTCAACACATATATATGATGTGTAATGATCAAATATGGGTAATTAGCGTATCCATCACCTCAAACTTATTATTTCTTTGTGTTGGGCACATTCAAAATCTTCTCTACCAGTTATTTGAAAATATACAATAAATTACTGTGGACTGTACTTACCCTATAGTGCTGTAGAACACTGGAACTTATTTCTTACATCTCGCTGTAATTTTATACCTGCTAGCCAAACTCTCCATATCCTCCCTTTCCCCATCCTTCAGGGTCTAATAGTCATGCGCATGACTTCTGCATAATATACTGTCCTGCAGGCTCATCCCTGTTGCTGCAAATGACACAATTTCATTCTTTTTATGTCTAAATAGTGTTCCATTTTGTATATCTGCACTTTATCCATTCGTCTGTTGATGGACATGTTGGTTGGTTCCATATTTTGGCTATTGTGAATAATGCTGCAATGACCATGACAGTGCAGATATCAGAAATTATACTGATTTCATTTCTTTTGGATAAATACCCAGGAGCAAGATTGCTGGATCATATGTCAGTTCTATTTTTAATTTTTTGAGAAACCTCCATATTGTTGTCCTTAATGCCTTACTAATTTACATTCCTACCAACAGTGTATGAGTTCCTATTTCTCCACATTCTCACCAGCATTTATTATTTGTTTTCTCTTTGTGATAATAACCATTCTAACTGGAGTGAGATATTTCATTGTGATCTTGACTTACATTTCTCTGAATATTAGGATTTTTAAAATATATCTGTTGGCCATTTGTATATCTTCTTTGGATAAAAGTTTGTTCATATATTTTGCTTTTTAAAAATCAGATTATTTAGGGGTTTGCTATTGAATTTTTTGAGTTCCTTATGTATTCTGGAAATTAATCCTTTGATACATAGGTTGCAAATATTTTCTTCTATACTGTAGGTTGTCTCTACTCTATTGATTGTTTTATTTGCTGTGCAGAATCCTTTTAGTTTGGTGTAATCCCTTTTGTCTATGTTGGCTTTTGTAGTTTGTGCTTTTGAAGTTTTATCTAAAGAATATTTTTCAAGGACAAGTCATGAAGCATTTTCTCTGTATTTTCTTCTGTTAGTTTCATAGTTTAGGACCTTACTTTCAAGTCTTTAATCCATTTTGCGTTGGTTTTTTGTGTATGGTGAAAGACAGGTTCTAGTTTCATTTATCTGCATGTGGATATCCAGTTTTCCAAGCACTGGATATTGAAGAGAGTGTCTCTTCCCCACTTTCATATATTCCTAGTTTACATCTTTCCATAATGTCTCCTCTCTGAAGATATCTCCTATTACTCTCTTCTTGCAATCTCTGTAATATCACAATCTATTTTTCAATAAGCCAGTTTCCAGAAATGCTCAAAATTTGAGACTATAAATTATCTCTGTGTATAGTAATTCTTCAGTTGGTTGAACAGTAGTTAGGAACCTTCTTGCTGTTGATTCATCTTCTAATACCCACACAGGTGTAGGAACATGAAAATAGAACAATGCAAGAACACCTCACATTGCATCGCAACTGACAATTTCATGGAAAAAAAAATAAACCACTTCCTTAGCTTTGGAAAGGACGAACTAGTTAATGAGGTAGTGGATAATTGTATGTAAATTTTTTAATTGAGCAGTGTTCTGTAGAATCAGAGAGACCTGCATTTGAATCCTGATTTTTTTTCTTTTCTAGATGTATTAAATTGTTCAAGTTATTTAACTTTTCTGTTACACAGTTTGCTCATCTATGCTAGTAAAACAAGCCTACAGGTTATTGTGAAAATTGAATTAGTATGAAATTTTTGAGAGACATGTATATGGCACATAGTAGGGCATCTATATGTATATTCCTTTTATTTGTGGCAGCAGTGAACAGATACCATCTTATTCATTTAATTATTCTGGAAATAGCTCTTTGATTTTGAGGCTCATTTCTCAAAGTCAGCGATTATTTTTAATGCTGAGAATGAATGGCAGAGTGGGCTTTGTTTGCATTTTTATCATGTAAAGTTTAATGTAAGATTTATAATAGTGTATAAAATAATAAATGCCTTGTAAAAATAAATGTGTGTGTAACAGACAACTCAGAGAAAATGGAACATAGAAAATTCTCTTTTATGTAACATGTAATTAACCTGTAGAAGATTTTCCTGTATCTAGTTAGACAACTAACTAATTGCTGAGCCAGTTAAACAATTGGACAGATATGAAATTAACATTAATAGGGAAATATGACTGTGCTTTAGGGAATATGCTTATCAGAAATAAAGTATGTGCTTAGGATTTATGGTTATGCCACATTCTGCCCATGGCTGTAAATTTCTTTCTAGCACCTTGGCTATTGTTGTGGGTCTGTGTGAGCTACCACCAAGTTGGAAGCCAGCTAATATCCAAGAATGTTTTCTCTGATCTCCACCCATTATCTTTTCTTTTTGGTTAACTGACATCCAGGGAGGCTCACTTGACCTGAGAACAAGGAACAGTTTTTAGTAAAAAGTACCAGACACAGGCATATACTTGCTTCCTACTGAAACAGAAACTATATTATTACAACTCTTCCAGAGTCTACAGAGGAAGTTCAGAAGTTCCTGCATCAGGGGACTGACTCTACCAAATTTTCAACTCACAAGTAGCATTCCCCACGAATTGCCCTACCTGGAGTTATCTATTAACAATTAAAGAACTGAAGAAAAGCTTTATGGTCTGGAATCTCAAGGTAGCTGTCCATAAGTCTAATCCAGCCAGAACATATGCTTTGTGTGTCCAGCATGATAATTGATAAGAACATTGGAGGTGAATGCCTTTAAATGAGGCATGCTCTGCCTAGTTTTACCACAGTCTTCACTGAAACAGATTATCTTAAGTTTGTGAATTTGAGATTGCAACTCCTGATATAAAATAACTTTTCTTTAATTGAGAAAGAAAACAACAAGTAGAGACTTTACAGAATTCTATAAAATACAAAATGGCATGCAAAAGTAAGTGGTGACCTAAAAGTCAACAGAGTGAATAAAACAGAGAATGACAAATTATCTTTGAAACAATATATAATTAAAGTATTGAACATCATGATTTATGTAGTTAGATAGAAATTATTTGCTGGGTGCATTAACATAACACATAAAGTAGTGTTTATAGACACTCATCTAAGAAGTCACACAAAAACATTTTCAAGAACATAAAATGGTTTTTGTTTTTGTTTTTTAAGTAGAGACGGGGTTTCACTGTGTTAGCCAGGATGGTCTCGATCTCCTGACCTTGTGATCCACCTGCCTCGGCCTCCCAAAGTGCTAGGATTACAGGCGTGAGCCACCACACCCGGCCAGATAACTTCTAATATACCTCTCCATTCCCAGAGTCTATAATTTCACAATTTTTTCCTGCTGTCTCAAGCCAATCTTTCATTATAATTCTCTCAAATATTTTTGGAGAGGTCAGATAGGTAGGGAGGAAGAATTAGAATTGAATCCCTCAAAGCATGTTTCTTTTCTTTTCTTTCTTTCTTTCTTTCTTTTTTTTTTTTTTTTTTTTTTTTTTTTTGAGATGGAGTTTTACTCTTGCTGCCCAGGCAGGAGTGCAATGGTGCGATCTCGGCTCACCGCAACCTCCGCCTCCCAGGTTAAAGTGATTCTCCTGCCTCAGCCTCCCAAGTAACTGGGATTACAGGCATGTGCCACCACACCTGGTAAATTTTGTATTTTTAGTGGAGACAGGGTTTCTCCATGTTGGTGAGGCTGGTCTTGAACTCCCGAACTCAGGTGATCCACCCGCCTCGGCCTCCCAAAGCCCTGGGATTACAAGTGTGAGCCACCGCACCCGGCCATAAAATGGTTTTGTGATTAGGTCCAATAGCATGTGAAACGTAAGCCGTCAAAGCCCTTTGTACAAATGTGGTCCGTGTGGTTGGCATGGTGTGGCCATCATTTTCAGCCCTTGCTTTAAAGCAAACAGGAAGGAACAATTAGTTTCAAGCTATTGGGATTTTTAACTATTAATAAAAGTAAATGAAATTTAAAGAAGAAATTTAAGATCTACATATGTTCTTATAATCACTAATGGCTACTTCACTTTACTTCCTTCTAGGAGATAGAGTGGAAGAGTTTGCGTGCAGGTGTGTGCTTGAATATGTCAGTGTTTGTCCTACTCATTCCATCACTTCCAAGTGTTTCTGGGATGGTGGCTTCCACTCATGAAGAACTTAAGAAGTGGAGTGGTGTTGGCTTTGACAGAGAACCTGAGGTGTGTTCTCCACTAATCAGGGTGTGCCGTGCTACTAAAATTGCATTTCTGGCACTTGCTTTCCCACTCTGTCCCTTAAGGCAAAGTTACTGTGACAGAATAAAGAGTGGGATAGAAGAATAAATTCTGGCTTTGAAATATTAGATATGGTTTCCTCCCCTTTTCATGTTTCAAACCCTCAGAAAAATTTGAAGATTTCACTGGGTATCAATCTCCAATACATAATATAATAATAATAATAATAATAATGAAGTAATTGCTTTACGAGGAATAAAAATATGGGTAAGACATTGGAGTCTTAGCCTCTTACCATGGAGACTTTGGCATTATCATAATTTTCTTACTATATATTCTCGTGGTTTATAAATCTCTCCTCAGTAATCTCATTGCCAGTTTTCCCCAAACTCAGTCATCTTATGAGTGAATGCCAAATTCATCTTCTTGAATCATGTGACTCCTTATTTACAACACTTCCAAAGTCCGTTCATGCCATTCCTCAATTCCAATACTTTCAAAGACTTCTCATTTCCTACAATTAAGACTCATTTTTTTCTGCATGGCATTTAATGTCCAATATCTAAACTCACTTCTCTCTTCTTTCTTTAGTGAGCTGTACTCTCAGGTTTTCTCAACTGGAGTGCTTTAGGCTTTTCTAGGGGCAACAACATTTTGTTCTGTGTCACTAATTACAGAATTATTAGCCTTCTTGGCTTCAGTGCAGTTAATGTCAACAACACTTCTCAGTCATTGTGACAACCAAAACTGCTCCCATCAACTTCTGAAACCCCAAGGTGGTATGCTTTACTCCCCTTCAAGATCTGCTCTTGAACTTTATTTGCCTTCCTGCCTTCATTCCCTGTTCCTGCTGTTTCCTTAGCATGAAATATCACTCCCTCACATCTTCATACCCTTATCCATGATGCATTAATGAAGTTAACCTTGATCCTTAGTTCAAAGAGATTTCTTCTTCTTCTTGAACTTCAAAGGCGATTCACTGAGTGCTTACCACATATCAGGCATTCTTGTCAGGCGCTTTCTATTGCATAATTTCCACTTAAAATTGTGCTTCCTTGCTCATAGTCAGTTGTGCTGAAATTTGCCCACTTTGGAAGGACAACACCTCCCTCCCTCTACCATCTTCCTCCCACCAGAGGGAAAGTTAGAGGTGAAATATAAGATCTTTAGTAATATTAGTACTTAGCTTCCAGCTGTTTCTGAGGTACAAATCACCCTTTACTAACTTTCATAAAGTCAGTATATGGACTTAGCTACTGCCTAGACTTGTCATTTTCTTTCCTCATCTTCTATACCAGATCAATGTGCCCTTACGTCAACATCTGTATCTGATCTCTCTTCTTATTTCCTAAGAACCCCAGCAGAGTGCACTGGGCTCTCAAATAGGCCTCAAAAATACTTGCTGTAAAACCCTGGATACTCAAATAATGACCAATGTATTCCAATTTTAAGTGCTTATTTAAAAGAGTAAAGATGTCGAATTTCAAAATCTTGACTATTGGGGCAAAGGTTGGATGAGAGCAGCTTAAAACCTTAAAACTAAAGTATTTAATGGCATTAATTTCAATGTTTTAAGCAAATATATAAATAATGCTATACACTAAAACTAACGTAAGATGCCAGGAAAAGTCTAACACTTTGAGGATGTTAAGGTGTAATGATTCAGAAAACATAAAGAAGGATGATTGCACAACTCCCATTAACATCAGTGAAATTCATATGGTAAAATTAACACTTACCTCAGTGGAAGCATGACCTCAGCTGTCATTGGGCATGTTACTTTTCATGGTGTGTGCTTTTCTCCTTTAATTTCAGGCAATTTAATTTTCTGCCCATTTCACAAAGAAATGTCAGACTGAAAGACTGGAGCATTGATGTTGAACATCTTTCTTCACACATTGTACTTACAGTAAAATTGATTTTGTTATCCTTGATATCACTAAAGGCAAGAAATGCAATATTGTTTCATGTAAACTCACCTTTTAAAGTAGGAATTTAAGCACAAATGACAGTCATATTCATAAAACATCTTAGTAGGAATGTGAAATTTTAAAAGTAAATTTTAAGAAAAGTAATAAGTAAATTATAATAAAAAGTAAATAAATTTCAAAAAGCCATTATTGAAAAACAGTAATATTTTTGTGTTCCTCTAAAATTTCAGGATGCACTATATAGAAATTCAAAAATAATGAATACATGGATTCTGTGTTTCTATTAATTTTCATAAGTCAAATATAGAATAATGGTTAAGAGGACAGTCTCTGAATCTAGACTGTTCACAGATTGGCTCTACCAGTTACCACCTCTGTCATCTTAAGCGAGTTACATCATGTTGCTGGACCTGTTTCCTTGTTGAGTAATTGTAAATACTGGAATTACTCCTTCATAAGATTGTTGTGAAGGTGAAATAAATGCATTTAAAGCACTTTTAAGACTGCTTAGCACACAGTGAATGGAAAATAAATGTTCATTATCTATATTATCTTATTTTAAACATGATAGAGATTTTGTTGGAAAAAACTAAAGATAAACCAACAGTTATAACACTAGTTTCCCTATTATGCTCTTTCAAAATGTATGTGACATGATTATTATTTGTATTATATGAAGGAAAAAGAAATCAATATAACATGTATGTTATATAATTATTTTTGAGGACTTGATTTGTAAATCTCAGTAAATAACCAAGAATGGAACCTATTACTTAATCTGTATGAAATGTTTTATCTACTTACCCCTCTCTTAACCCAAGACATCTATTCAATCAAGCTGCTTGAGGAACATTTATTGTGAAATTTTGCATGCTTATCACCTAATACTACTGGCTTAGCACTAGTAGGCACTCAGTAAATATTTGTTTAACCCATTAACCTTTATCAAAACAAATATTCCAATTTATTCATATATCACTCCATCTAGCCAGTGCACCCAAGCATCCTTCGCCATGTCCTGGAGTTTTTTCTCTTTTGTCTTTGAGGAGCAATTTGAGCTTCCCTACCTCCTGAATTCTTTGCAGTGCTGCTAGTCCACCCTAATCTCTGCCGACTCAAACCTCTCTCAACGCAGTTCAGAGCGATAGAGTTTACCACTACAGTGACTTAGATGTATGTTGAATTTGATCTTTAAATAAATCATATGCATCTTAAGGGCACAGATGAATTTGATGCTTCTTATGTGACATCTTGCAGTTGTTGTTAACTAATAAGTATTAATTGATAATAATCAACAACCAAATGAGTGCTTATTCTTACCTGCCATGTTAATCTCTCCATTTGAATCTACTTGAATTATTCTCTTTTTGTTTCAGTGTTGGAGTGTAATTGTTCCAGCATAAAAGAAAGGAAGATTTGCCATATTATACCATATTATAAACACACACACACACATACACACATTGTGTCACTCATACTTACAAACATATACATACACATATATATTTTCATGGGAAATTATGGCGGGATTCTGACTACTAACTCAGAAACACTAAATTAGTGAATATTTCCCCTATACTCATAGATGAACTGGAGATTAATTCAGTTTTCCCTGTACTCAGTTTCTCTTGTTATAGGAGAAGGGGGATGGTAGAGCAAATATTTTGGAGTTCACTATGGGTCTGACGTAGCTAAAAATTAGTTGTAGAAATCATTAAGATGGAATTGATGTAATTTCACTTTCCATTCTAACATGGCATTTTGCATTTCTAAAAACTTGACTTAGCTGGACCGGAGTTTCTAAAGAATTACTTAGAGATTCAAACTTTTGTTCAGAGTTAATGAAACAATGCAGTGCTTTACTATATATATTATAACCAAATATTTTATAATAAAGATAGCTGACATGAACTGAAGGAGAAACTGTTTTATCCGCATTTTATATATGAGGAAATTAAAAGCCCAAGAAGTTAAATAATTACTCAAGAAATGGATAAGCCAGGAATTGAACTTAGGAAGTTGGCCCCAAAGCCCACACTTACACTATACTGCTGACACTACTGACAGATATCACTAGTTACCTAAACAAGAATCCATGCCACCCACTTCCTTTCTGAGATCCCATCTGTGTGACATTCATGTTCTTAGTCTCTCTAAAGGCAAGAATGGATATATAACCTAGTTTTGGCCGATGGAATTGGAAGAAATGCCTTCCAGGTCTTTCATTTTGTACCCTGTGGGAAAATAAAAAAGAAAGAGTCGTTGAAAGAAGGTCAGTTTTCCCCTAATTTTAGACATTGATGTGTGAAGATGCAATACTTGGAGCTTCTGTAGCCGTACTGTAACTGAAAAGAAGGTCAAGAAAATTATAGAAGAAATGACTCAGAGGCCATACATTTTTAAGCATCTGAACCAACCCTGTACCTCTTTTCTTATGAAAGTCTTGTCTGTGAGAATAGTAATCTTTATTGTTTATTGCTATTTTTTATATTCTTACCTGCGCTTCTCCTAACAGATGAAAATATGAATTTCTAATTTCTAAGATATTTTAAATTCTCAGATTCTATAAAAATGACATTTTATTTATTCTTATAAAAAATTAGTATTCCCAAATGAGGATTTCTAAGCAGCTTAAATTCTTTTGGGTTTTCAAATGGATATGATTATATTTTTAAGACTGTTTTTTTTTATTTTTTATTTTTTGTTTTTCTATATATACTTTATTCTCTTGACCAGACATGGAATACACACACACACACACACACACACACATTGATACACTGGTTTTTCTTTAGTTTCTTCCAATAAAATCCCTATCATGTTTAAAATAAGATAATATAGATAATGAACATTTATTTTCCATTCAGTATGTGCTAAGCAGTCTTAAAAGTGCTTTAAATTAATTTATTTCAGCTTCACAACAATCTGATGAAATACAACAATTTTAGTTTTTGAAGTTCAGTTTTTATTAAATATTTTTGAGATTAGATAACCACCTTGATTCATGAATGATTAGTTTGCAAAAATGTTTTAAATTATATTGAAAAACTAGACCAAAAAAACCTTGATTTTTAGAATGTGGATCTATTTGACTTTTTATTTCATATAAGAATCACTGTTAGAAATATGAAAGTATATTTCAGCTTAAAGGTAGTGACATTCCCCTTCCCTATATTTAAATTGAACCTAAATTAAACTTGTATTAATCAGTATCTGTCACATGAACTCTACCAGCTCCCTTTCACCTAAACAAACAGTCACACACAACAAAATAGAAATCTTTTCTCCTCCTTAAAGACTTCATCTTCAGATAACCCCATACTTGTCCACATTGCCCTACTGGCCTTTCTCTGACCAGATTGAAGATAAGAATTAAAATCATTTAAGGAGATTTCAGATCTATGTAAGACACAGTAATCTTTTCCCAGTTTGTCTGAATTTGTGTTTGCTTTCATAAAACATTGGTTTATTAGGAGATAAACATTTTAAATATTTGAAAATGCCATCTTCATTTAAAGCTAAGAGTTTAATTTCATTGTGGTAAGCTGGGATGTGAAGACTTAGATTTATTAACATTAATAGAAGCAAATGCTTAATTTCTAAGCCATTAAGATAAGATAACCATTCCTTCCAGAGAATTTCAATTGAAGATCAGAAAGTCCTTAGTTAAGGCTGCCACTTACTCTATAATTTACTTATAGTGCCTAACTACCTATGACGTCAAAGTACATAATGCTACAGCCCATTTCAAATGAGTCTTTAATGACAAAGTGACAGTTTCAGCCTTCTGTAAATAAAAGCACTGAGCAAAACTCAGAGGTTTAGATGTATCACTGTGATCACTCTTTACAATATGAAATATTGAAGACAACAAATTGATAAGAATGACAAAGACAACACATCATATAATGTCTTCTGAAGATTCTATTAAAGACACATTTAAATACGTGTGTTTGACTCCAGTGAAGAAAGCATTTGACTCTAGTGAAGATCCCATTTGGGACTGGAAGTAGCACCCATTCTCTAAGTACATAATAGGGGTTCAATAAAAATTTACTTGTTTGCACTGGGAGCAGTGGCTCACACCTGTAATCCCAGCACTTTGGGAGGCCAAGGTGGACGGATCATGAAATTAAGAGATCGAGACCATCCTGGCCAACATGGTGAAACCCCGTCTTTACTAAAAATACAAAAATTAGCTGGGCATGGTGACACATGCCTGTAGTCCCAGCTACTCAGAAGGCTGAGGCAGGGGAATCGATTTACCCAGGAGGCAGAGGTTGCAATGAGATCATGTCGCTGTACTCCAGCCTGGTGACAGAGTGAAACTCCGTCTGAAAAAAAAAAAAAGAAAGAAAAAAAGAAAAAACTTACTGGTTTGAATTACATGGGGTGATGGAGTGGAAAAGGAGAGGGGATGGATTGGGAAAGGTGTAGCCTCAGGAAAACTAGCAGAGAAAGAGAACTAAGATCTCACAGACCATGCAGAAAGTCCTTAATGAATTTACGTGGGAAAGATACTAAACAACTCTGTATGTACACCAACTGAAACCCTGTATTCAGTTGCAGCATGCATTCTAAAGTCAATGCCACATGATCTGACTTAGAATCAATAAAAGAAGACAAAGGAAATATAATTTGGCTCAGCATAACTATGAAAACATTTAAAGGAGTAGACTTCAGATCTTGTTTGGGATAGAGCTAATTTCCTTTGTCTCATATTTCCATAAAGAAATGACCTACTGATCTACTGCCCAAGAGAGAACAATATTAAAGTGAATTTAATATTGTTGCTGACACCTCTCCTACTCAGCCTTCCCTTAAATGGAGGTGGAGCGATTACATATTGATGATATTAAGGAACCTGACATCCAATGGCCATGCCACAAGAATCAGTGGAATTTCTTTGGGCCAAAATTTGAAAACAGTCCTCTAATTCCTGGCCTCATTCTCACTCTCCTTCCTTCTCTTCTCCAATCCCTCTGTTTTTCCTTCTGTCTCTTGATTCTTCCTCAAGCAAAGCATCACCTACCCTCTCACCTGCAGTGATCCATTTGGGATTTGAAGTAGGATCCCTGAGTTTTCCACTGCTGCATGTAACAATTACAAAGCCATATGCTATCTAGATTGTTATATGACCCCTGAGTCTGCCTGCAATTTGGTTAGAATCTGTAGGAGGAAAAAGATCAACAGCTTGGCTTACCCTAATGTCCAGTAAATCACCAAATCCTAGGAAGCACAAGTTATTAAGAAATAAATATATATTAAGAATAACTCTGTTGACAGGGTAGGGCTTTTGAATGACAGGCATTTTTGTTATATAATTCTGTGCGGAAGAAGTGAGAAATCAATAAGGCCCTGTAGCTTATTTAGGTGTTTCTTATAAACAGTTAAAACAATACAAATAATAATAAACACTATTGATTGAATATTTACTACAGGACAGGTACTGTACTAGGCCCTATACATTTATTACATCAATTTTTCCAAACACCTTGAAGCTATAGGTTGACAAACTCCAATTCCTAAGTAATGACTGTGGTTTTGCACAGACTTAAAGGCGAATGAGTGACATAAGGTTTATAAATAAGAAACTCATGGCTCACATGATCTTACCTCCCCTCCATGTTTATTTCAGGCTTTCTTCATCAATTGCAGCACAATCACTACCAATCAATCTGCACTGACCAAGAGAGATGAAATTTATTCACCATCCTGGTGCTGTTGTAACTCGTGTGGTCTCAACTCTTGATGTGCTATGCTCTGATGTCACTGAAAATTCTAGAAATCTCACCAGCTTAGAAGAATTTTCAAGCAGCAGGTCACAGGCTAAGCCAATATGTACCGATTAATCAAGAGTCAATTTTAGCACTCTTCCTGTTTTGTGAACTATTTAGGTAGTCTATATGGCTGACTATTCAAACTGCAACAGAAATCAATAACACATTTTTAATGAAAAAATATTTTAAAATTTGATCACTTTCTTCCTATTTAATAGTGTTATGCTACAGACTATGAGAGACAAGAAATACGAGTATATAGAACATACAAGAATATAAGGGAAACATAATTAAACTACATAAAGTTTTAAAATTGAAGAGCTATCGAGCATAGTGACTTAGAGCACAGGCTTTGGTATCAAGTAGCTCTGGATTCAGGTTCTGGTTCTTCCTTTCTGCATACTTGTGCAAGTTGCTTAATCTCTGTATTCCTTAATATCTTCATCAGTAAAATAATCAATGATAGCCATTGCATACACTTGGTGGGAAGATTGAGTGAAATACGGTATTTAAAAGGCACTTATACTCAGAGCCAAGATGACCAACTAGACACAGCCATTTGGAACATGTGATGCTGAGGGACTGGAACGTCAGGTAGACTGGCAGATTGCAAGCAGATCTTCAGAGGGAAGGCACTGGGAGTGGACAGAGGGAGGATACAGACAGTGGGCCAAAGGGAGAGGAAGCTGGGAACCCTGCACAGGTCTACTGAGCACTAGGACCTGTTCCTGACCTCCAGAGACTCCTGGGGAAGAAGTGAGTTTAATAGATGAGGAGTGGCTTGCTCTCACAACGAACCTCTGGAATCTGGGCAGCAGGGTGCCCCGATGCCCCCATGGACTCTTGAGTTGGTGAGGAGAGATGCTTAGAGCAGTGCTGAGAGCAGGCTCTAGCCACTGAAGAGCACAGAGGGTTTGGTGTGTCAGTGTTAGCAGTGGAGCATGGCCAGTGATACCCATTGTCCAAGGCTCACCATGTTCTCTAGGAGACTTTAGCCATGCGGTAACTGTTGGAACTAGGTAGAGCAGGGTGGTCATGCCCCTGAGATGGAGCCAGTACCATCTGAGCACCCTCTGCTGGCCTCTCCTGGGGCCCCAACCTGGCCACACCTGCTAGGCAGCATGGCCTCAGATGCCCAACCAGGGTGCTCCTCAAGAGTCCTCATCATAGCTCCTTTGCCAGTGACTGTGCCTGACCATTGGAGCGCTCTAGCAGACCAGCCCTTGCCATCTTGCACCAGTCCACCTGATCATCTGTCCATTTCAGCCTGCACCGTGCCACTTTGCCAGCACACACTCACCCAAAGCCACTCCCCCACTTCTTTGCTGGTGCATGTGTGTGGGCAGACCTCACCTCTTCTCCCCCACCAGTGTGCTTATGTAGCATGTCATGCCACCACTGCCAGAATGAGTACAACCCACTGCCCTCCCCCAACTGATGTGTGAGCACTCAGCCATAATACCATTGCTGGCATGAGCATATACATGGACTCCAGAGACCCTGTCCCCTCTCCCCACCCCAGTGTTTCTGCCACCACAGTGAACTAGCTCATGACACTGGTGGGCCCATTCACCCTGTACCGCCAACCTGGTAAGTGAGAACATGTGCAGGAATGCTGGTGACCCCACCCAGTCCTGCACTGCCACTGCCACCATTGTGAATGTACATACAATCCACCATAAAACGATCCTTAGCAAATTCAAAAAACCAAATTCATACCAAACACACACTCAAAGTACAGTGCAACAAAAATAGAAATCAATACTAAGAAAATCACTCAAAACCATACAATTACATTGAAATTAACCTGCTTCTAATGACTTTGTAGTAAACAATGAAATAAAGGCAGAACTCAAGAAACTACTGAGAATAAATATGTTACATACTAGAATTTCTTGGACACAGCTAAAGCAGTGTAAAGAGGGAAGTTTATACCATTAAACACTCATATCAAAAAGTTAAAAAGAGGCCGGACACAGTGGCTCACACCTGTAATCCCAGCACTTTGGGAGGTCGAGGTGGGTAGATCACAAGGTCAGGAGATCGAGACCATCCTGGCTAACATGGTAAAACGTGTCTCTACTAGAAATACAAAAAATTAGCTAGGCATGGTGTTGGGTGCCTGTAGTTCCAGCTACTCAGGAGGCTGAGGCAGGAGAATGGCATGAACCCAGGAGACAGAGGTTGCAGTGAGCCAAGATCATGCCACTGCACTCCAGCCTAGGTGACAGAGCGAGACTCTGTCTCAAAAAAAAAAAAAAAAAAAAAAGATTAAAAAGATCTCAAATTAACAACCTAACATCACACCAAGAAGAACTGGAGAAACGAACAAAATAACCCCAAAGCTAGCAGAAGACAAGAAGTAACAAAAATCAGAGCTAAATTAAGGAAATTGAGACATAAAATTCCATACAACAGACCATGAGCCCAAGAGTTTTTTATTTAAAATAATAATGATTGATAGACCACTAGCTAGACAAAGAAAAAAGAGAGAAGATCCAAATAAACACAATCAGAAATGACAAAGGAGAGATTACCACTGACCCCACAGAAATACAAAAATCCCTCAGCAACTGCTACAAACACTTCTGTGAGCATAAACTAGAAAACCTAGAGGAAACGGATAAACTCCTAGAAATATGCAACCTCTCAAGATTCAACCCGGAACAAATTGAATCCCTGGACAAACAAATAACAAGTTCCAAAACTGAATCAGTAATAAAAAGCCTACCAACTGGAAAAATTTCTGGACCAGATGGATTCACTGCCAAATTCTATCAGATATATAAAGAAGGGCTTATACCATTCCTACTGAAACTGTTTCAAAAATTGAGGAAAGGGACTCCTCCTTAACTCATTCTAGGAATAAAAGGCATCCAAATAGTAAGAGAGAAAGTCAACCTATCTCTATTATCAGATGATATGTTTCTATACCAAGAAAACCTCATAGTCTCTGTCCAAAAACCTCCCAGATCTTATAAGCTGCTTCAGCAGAGTTTCAGGATAAAAAAATTAGTGTACAAAAATCAGTAGCATTTCTATACAGCAACAATATCCAAGTTGAAAGCCAAATCAAGAATGCAATTCCATTTGCAGTAGCCACAAAACGAATAAAGTTCGTAGGAATACAGTTAACCAAGGAGGTAAAAGGTCTCTAAAGCAAGAATAATGAAACACTGCTGAAAGCAATCAGAGCCATCAAAAACAAACGAGAAAATATTCGATGCTCATGGCTAGGAAGAATCAGTATTGCTAAAATGGCCATACTGCCCTAAGAAATTTATAGATTCAATACTTTATCAAACAGTCAATGACATTCTTCACAGAATGTAGAAAAAACTATTTTAAAATTAATATGGGACCAAAAAAGAACCTGAATACCCAAGTTAATCCTAAGAGAAAAGAACAAAGTTGGAGGCATCAAATTATATGACTTCAAACTATACCACAAGGCTATAGTAAGCAGAAAACATGACACTCGTACAAAAACAGACACATAGATTAATGGAACAGAAAAGAGAGCCAAGAAATAGTGCTTCACACCTACTATTGTCTGATCTCCAACAAAGTTGACAAAAGCAAACAAGGAGGAAAGAGCTCTCCATTCAATAAATGTTGCTTGGATAACTGGCTAGCTGTATTTAAAAGATTGAAACTTGAGCCCTTCC